CATAGTACTTAGCTCAGAGCCTAGAAAATAGTAGATATTCACTTGCCAATTAACTGAATTCCCACAACCTAGATCTCAGGGGCAAAAAGACACACTAGATTCAGTATATCTTCCAATGTAGAAGACCTCATTGTGAAGGAACTCTAAAGTTCCGTTGCAAAATGTTACTGTAGGCTCTTTAAGACTCTGGAATGACTAATGTTTACTTTTAAGTTCTCTGCACATGAAACACAACATTTTTGGCTCATTCTATCAAATGATTAATGACACCTTTGAAGGAAAAGGAATCTACTTAATGACAATAGAAGAAGAAAATGTGGCTGTTTTGACATGCATCCAGAAATTCAGAAATTTGGAAAGTTACATTCTAATAGGTACCACTTATTTGGAACACCAAACTGTTAAGTCCTTGTCTCCCTTTGGAAGCTATATAAGAACAGAAACTCCAGAAATGAAGGTGGTATCTCTTGTGCTCCATGAACCTTGTTCACCCAGAGGTGTTGAATACAGTTCAAGTCTGATCCTATTTAAACTTTTCATAATACACAATTTCTAAAGCTCATTTTCTTCTGAACAACTAAAGTTTTCTTTCATGTGAATATTATTGCTACTCTGAGGGTTCCGATTTCACGGTGCTGTCTCTGAATGCTGAGGTAGGCATTAGGGCAGAAGTGACTGTCAACAGAATGGAATTTGGAGGCCTGGGAGCTTGGCTGCAGAGTTGAGAAACAAGGAATTTTAAGTAGGTTGTTGCAGTGGCATGGATTAATCACTAGATGGCAAACACAGTTTGAGTTGCAAAGAAAACATTGAAATAAAACGTCAACTGTCCAAGTTCTCTGCTTGAGAAGGATAAAAAGCACACATCCCTAACTGGCAAAAGGACAGAGAAAAAGAACACAAAGAACACCCAAGCACTTTTCCTGCAGCCAGCACTTAAGGTCAGACGAACTCAACTGGGCATTTAAGAATTGACACCATTTGACCTTAGCTGCTTTTCCGGAATCATCCTTCCATACACACCTCACCCCAGTGATGGGAGGCTACGGTCGGTCCTTTGCTCAGAGAGGCACCTCCCTACTGATGAGGCAGGTTCATAGCAATCTGCCTCCAGTGAACCCCACTTCTTCAAAGCCACCTGAGAGGCTGCTCTCTTTGTCAAGACACCTGGATCTTCAGTCACATTGGGTTACTCTGGCTTCTGTGCTCCCACAGCACAAGGTCAAAGAAGTCGATTCAGTACCCTTTCTGCCTCACCCAGGAGAGACATGCACTGCTGCCCAGGCTGTGGGACAAGCTTTTTTGAAGCAGAGAAGAATGTGCACCTGGCTTTCTACTCCAGGCAGTGCCCAGTGCAGCACCCTTGACTTCAGCATGCATTCAGTTATGTTGCCCTTGGGAGGAGCAGGTCAGGTTGGAAGAATGTGTGGTTCTAGGGAAGCCTCTGGAGGGAAAGAGGTTAAGCTCCATGGGACTTTTTTTCTTTAAATTGCATTGCATTTGAATATTTTTTTGTGGTAAACTATAACACAGAATTTGCCATTTTATCCACTTTATCAGTGTACCATTAATTTCCAAGCACCACTCATTGCTTTTGCAACGTTGTACAGCCATCACAACCATTTCCAAAACATTTCCATCATCCCAAACAGAAACTCTGTAGCTATTAGATGATAATTCCCCCACTTCCCTTCCCCACAGCCCCTGGTAACCTTGAATTACTTTCTGTCTTTATGAGTTTGCCTATTCCAGATTTTGCATATAAGCGTAGTTGTACTTGCCCTTTTGGGTCCAACTAATTTAACTCAAGAGAACATTCTCATGCCTCACCCATGATTCAGCATGTGTCACAATATTTTTCCTTTTCATGTTTGAGTAACATTCCATGCTCCCCTGTTGATGGGAACTTGGGTAATTTCTACCTTCCGGCTATTGTGAGTAATGCTGTTATCAATATTGGCGTACAGTATCTGAGTCCTGGTTTTCCGTTCTTTTCAGTATATATTTATGAATGTTGGTTCATTTGGTTACATTATGCTTAGG